AATAGACAATCTACAAGGAAAGCTGCAGAATATGACTTGCAAGGAAAAACAAAAGGCTCCAGAGGAGGATCTGCTACTGTAAAAGACTCCAGAGGAGGGCTTGCTACAGGAAAAAGTTCTAGAGGAGAGCCAGTTGCAGGAAAAAGTCTATGGAGAAGGTGCCGCTGCAGGAAAAGGCACTGGAGAAGGGTCCGCAGGAAAAAACTTCGAAAGAGATTTAATTGCAGGAAATAACTCTGGAGGGTCTGCTATAGAAAAAAGCTCCGAAGGAGGTCGTGCTGTGAAATAAAGCTCCGGAGGAGGGCTGTTTAAGGAAAAGCCTCCGGAGAATGGCCTACTACAGGGAAAGGCTTTTGAGGAAGGTTTGATTTAGGAAAAAGCTCTGGATGAAGGTTTGCTGCAAGAAAAACTTCGGAGAAGGGTCTGCTACAGGAAAAAACTCCAGAAGAGGACCTGCTGTAGGAAAAAACTCTGGAGGGCCTGTTGTAGGAAAAAAACTCCGGAGGAAGGCTTGGTGGGAGAGAGTTCCGACGACTAGTTTCTGCAGGAAGAGAGTTCCAACGACTAGTGGATTGCAGGGTAAAGAGTTTTGGCGATTAGGGACTTGTAGGGGAGGAGTTCCGGTAGCTCGGGCTTACAGAGAGAAAAATTGCTAGCTGCAGGGAATATGAAGTTTTTTGAGATAAGAGATCTTCTACTCCGCCAGAGACTCTAGGGTTTATTTTAAGGCTCTGATTCCATGTAGTTTTTGAGAATAGAGCAGACTTCTTTATTAATACGGAAGGGGGGTATAAATACAAGTTACATGAACCTTAAAATAGAAAAGAAATAATATCTATATCTCCAAGACTACAATTAATCAATTCCTAATAACTACCTGGAGATAAAAGGAAATACATAAAATAGGAAAAGCATAACAACTGTATCTCCAAGATTATAATTAATCAATTCCTAATAACGACCTAGAGATTAAAGGAAATACATAGAATAAGAAAGACATAAAATAGGAAATAACATGAAAGGAAATAAATCAATTCCTAATAACTTCTAATAATGGGCATAGAAAGCCATTTAATTTTGAGATTTGGTTACTGATATTATGATCATTAGAATGCCCTCAACGATCTAGCTGAAGATTTTACTTGTTTCATATTCTTTCACATCTGAACAGAAAAGCAGTGTTCTCTAATAAGTTATTTCGAAGACGCCACCTAGACTTGGTGCTATTGGAATCTAAATATGCTTACTTGTCATCCACACTTTACCTAAACAGCCCATGATTAGTTCCCCCCGTTTCTTTTCTCATGCTTCCTTGAACTCATGATGTCTCTCAAGAATCATGGCTCTATAGTTAGTTATTTTTTAGAAAGATCTTTTGATTCTTATCTACAAATTATCCAGTTAAAAAACTTTGAAAGTTGATGAGGCTGCAACTTGATATTTTTTTCTTTAAAGCTGCCTGTGTTTATATTCATCTCATTCTCATTTTTCTTCATAAAATAACATGATATAATCCTTGTTTTAATTGTGGCAAAATTAGGGTTAACCTTTATTTAATTTCGTAGTCTCACTAATTAGGAATTGTGGTTTACACGATTCCTAACAATATTCAGTTGGGGATAAGTGGACTGATCACACTCCCTTTTTGTCTGTTTCCATTTTTTATCACATGCACAATCCCCTTAATGCATTCTTATTCTTTGGTGAAGAGTGGTCGGATCAGCATTAAGCCATGGTTTCATCTTTTCTTACAAGACATGCCTTTGGCATGCATCAACAAGTAAGAATTCATTGAATTCATTGTTAGGAATTAGCCATGGCTTATGAAGAAACCTTGTTATAGTAGCAAGGCTTATAAAGTCAGGAAAATAATCGATTGTCATTTTGTCTTTTGTTAAATTAAAATTTTTGTGTCATTCTACTTGAAAAAAGGAAATTGAAATTAATTTCAGCTGCTTAAAATAAGTTTGATTACTGAACAAATGGGGCCGTAGATGGATTTTAACTACAGTATTGTTCTTCCGTTGTTTTACTATTAAAAATACGATGTGCAGATGCATATCTTCAATACATGCAGAGCAAATCATTTATCTCCGAAAGAGTAGTGGTGACTTTATTTCATATTGAATATCCAAGCACAACTTTTCTCAACAAGGCCTAAGACGGCTAACATCAATGACTAGTTTTATCCAGATTATCTAGTGTTTGGCTGTTCTGTGACTCTTGGGGAATTCTTATGAGAACGGGTAAACAAAATTTATGTCATTTGCATGTGCTGTGACTCAACAAGCTGTTTCTAAGTTTTAGCTTTGTTTGCATTATTGCTGTTGGATGCAAGATAAACCACAATTGTATTGCAGACCTCAATGAAGCTTGAAATTAATCTTTGAAACTGTGAAAACGGTTATTAAATATTTTAAATTTGTTCTGGTTTCCCTTTTGTTGATCAAGGTTCCTGTTTCTCATCTGTAATGAGCAGTCCCTGGGAGAGTTCGAGTTGCCGTAAGACTTAGGCCTCAGAATTCGGAGGAGTTGGTAGCTGATGCTGATTTTGCTGATTGTGTTGAATTACTGCCTGAGGTTCTTCCAAGATAATTTACCTTTCTAAGCGATGCTAAGAGAAAAAAACCTTTGGTTTGCAATTTAGTATAGTTAATATTAAAATTTGCTTTATATTTTGCTATTCTGCAGCTTAAGAGGTTAAAGCTCCGCAAAAACAATTGGGAGTCAGAAACCTATGAATTTGATGAAGTGCTTACTGAATCTGCCTCACAAAAACGTGTTTATGAGGTTGTTGCCAAACCAGTCGTTGAGGTATAGATTTAATCTGTGATTGCTAATTGTGTTTTATTATTTTCATTTTGAGTAGCTTTAAAGTTGTGTCTTTATGGAACTTGGTGCTTAGTTTTGATTTAATTGATTTCTCAGCATAATATTGCTTTTGTGTTTTTTATCACTTCTTATCATTTTTGTAGGTTATTGACTTACTATATGCTTCCATTTGGTTTATATATATTTTTTGAGTAGGTGAATATTGTTTTTTTTTAATGAATTTTACCATTTTTGTAGAAAAATTATTGATGGATAAAAATTCATATTTATATTGGTCTCATTGTGTTGCTTATTATTTGGATATAATGATTGAAAATACCTTTAAGACTCAATGATTAAGGCAACCTTGTTGGTGTTACATAGTTTCATTTTTTTCATGATATCAATTTTATTTTTTCATTATCCCCGTTGGTTTAATTAGTGAAGAGCTTTACAGATCAAGGATCACTAGTCAAACTTGATAAAACTAGTTTTGTTTTTAATTTCTTGACATTATAGTACTTTTATCCGCAATAAATTTACAACAACAACGACAACAACAACAATAACAAGTCTTCATCCCACTAAGTGGGGTAAGCCACCTGAATCTATTTTCTCCATTGTCTCCTATTTAGTGTCATATTTTCATTTAATTCTAATTAATTGAAATTATTTTTTATACATGTCCAAGTTTTTTTAGGTCTCTACCTCTCCTTTTCTTAACATAAGTCATATCTAAACATCTACTCTCGTAACTGAGTTATGAGATGGTTGATGTAAAATGTGACAAAACCATCTAATTTTATGATAATATTTTGAGTGCCCTTATCCAATTTTAAGAATTTTATTTTCCATCTCTTCATCTAATAAATATTTTCCACATCTATCCAATTTTAACTTTATTTATCTGATGAGTGCCCTCATCTAATTTTATGAAAACATTTCATTATATTTTCATCTTCTAACTCTGTATCTTAAAATCCAAAATTAATAATTGATGTTGGATACTTAAATTTTCACTTAGAATGACTTTACAATCTTTGTAATCTCGACAATCTATTTTTTTTATAAAAAAATAATCAATTTGTGTTTTGTTAGATTCATTCTTATAAGTGATAATATGTACATGTTTTTTCTTAATAAAATATTTGCAAAAACAAAATCATAAACTAAAGCAAAGTCTATAATGACTCTACCTTCTTTATTAGTCACTCCAAAATCATAGTCACCACAAATATTTTTAAAATCTTCTATCACTCTACCAACATCTCGATTTAAATCTCTTTAAAAAAAATCTCGAAGATTTATCATTTGCATTAATTTTTTTAAGACGTTCCAAAAGTTTTTGTTTGAACGTATCAAACATACTTGGGGAACAAAAACTTTTATAATATTAAGAACCTTAGTTTCAATAATAATCTTTAAAACAATAATTCTATCTCTAGTTCTGTTAATTTTTACAACATTATCTTTTTACCGCTTATCTATAAATACATCTACACCATTTTTAGTACGACTCCTATTTGAATATCAAAACTATCAATCTCTTTATTCTTTTCTCCAACTCATTTAATTTTTTGAATGCATAAGATATTTATCTTCCTATGAAGTGTAATTTCTACTAATTCCATTAATTAATTCACAATAAATGTGTTTGGAGAAACTATTTATATATAAAAAAATTGTGCTGGGTCTTTATTTAAATGAGGTTAAGGTAAAACTAGCTGAACAAATCATTTTGAAACAGTTTTTTTTGAATACTGTCTGGTATATGCGCTCAAAGCAGGTGTCCTTTTTTGTAAGGTCTTTAGATTGGTTTATAAAAAAGCTTCTATTGGGTTTTATATATATGACATGATGGATATAGTTCATGGTGCTAAAGAAGTAGTTGTAACTTTAACATTTGCATGCTGCTGCATATTTCTTAAATCATGAGTACCTTTTTAGCAACCCTAATATTGTAACACATTCGCAAGTAGTCGATGGATTATATACAAGCATTAAAAAGTGGCTGAGGATGTTGATGAAGAAACTAGAAGTAGCACTAAATTGAGTATATACATTAGAGGTGAAGATCTTTTTAATATTCTTTCAATGTATGGCAAAAGACCATGGCGCTAGATAACGTTATTTCAGTAAAATCATAGCTAGTATTGATTATCATTTTGATATTTAAATAATAATGAAAGCTGTTACATATTTGCGGCTGATAGGTAGCTAGCGTATGATCAATGAGCTCCATATTGGCAGTTAAAGTACTTAACCTACTTTGTAATTCATCTAGATGTAAACAAAATTAGTGTATTTTTGAACATGCAAATATATAGTAAAATTATGTGTTGATTATAATAATGAAAATTTGTATTTTAATACTTTTAATAAATTTTAATTACAACTTCATAAGAAAAGAAGAAGCATGATGGATGTTGGTTGCCTCAAAGATTTAATTTGTCAGAAATATAGCAGGGCTTTCAATTGCATATGCAACCATTGTGTTGTTATTGACTCTATCTCTTTAAACAATATAAATTATGCTAATGAGTGTTAATTAAAAAAATGAATGAGTTAGATGAAGTTAATGAATTAATTTTTAGTGAGGAAGATTTGATATGATTTAGTGTTGCAAATTCAACCGGTGTCTATGGAAGAAGCTATAATATTTCAGAGTGATAAAAGGGAAAACGATTTTAATTTATGCTTAATATTATTGCAATTGAACATCAAGTTGATGTGGGTGATGAAGAAAATTATGATTTAAGTGATAATGATGATGTTGATGAAGGAAACAAGACTTTTTTGAATTGTGATGGCTATCATTATTCTTTAGGTGACCAGTTCAATTATTTATCAAAATATAAGCAATACAAAAATTTGTAATATTTTATTTCTTAAATTTTTGAGGTGTTGAGCGTTAGAATTTTAGCATGATTTTTGTTATGTTTTTATAATTTTTTTTCAATTTAATAATTTTTTATATTTATTTGTATTTTTATTCATAATTTTTTTATATTTTACCCTATGTTTAAAATAGCACTTTTTACATCATGAGTTATATACTGTGACTCTATGAGGACCTTTGTTCACTATTCATCATTGACAGGTATGTGGATTAGATGAGCTTGAGAAGGGACGAAAATAACCGTACACAGAAGATTTTGTTTAAATTAGTATTGTTTTGCTTGAATGATATGTTCACGAACTTGTTTGTACCCGAGCTACTAAATAAAAGCATGAATTTAAACTTATTTTAACCTTTGAGTTGTGTTATAATGTTCTTTTTCTGTGTAAGTTAATTGTAAAATAACAGACATGTAATATTGGTGATGTAAATTGCAATGATCTGTGCATATTTATATTGGTGTATTAGTTTGAAATCTATTTAGGGTTTATGATGTTTAAATAATATTCTTTAAACATCTCAATCAGATTTTCTTTTTTTTTTAAATTTGAATTTGTTTATTAATTAATATTGATAAAAATAATCAAGCATTTGAAAAATAAATTTTATTCTTTTAGGAAGGATGGGTGGATAAAAGTAAAAAATAAATTTTGTTCTTTCTAAAAAATTGATTTCATTTAAATAGAATCTATGATACAAATAGCCTTAATTATACATGTCACATTGCTCTTCTTCTTTACTATATTGAGGAAAACATTTGAACAATTGAAATACATATTTTATTTTAGTTTTTGGAATGATTTCAATAAAATAAATGTAAGTTTAGGACTTTAATATTTTGAAACAAAAGAACTCACTATAATTTGTTGTATTGAAATTAAAATAATAATAGTTATATAAAATTAACTTGTTTTGCAACCTAAATAATCTCATTCCACTCTAACTATATATGAATTGATTACTTAACATGAAGAAATAAAATAATAAGTTTTGATTTACTAATTATTTTAAGAAGAAAACATATGTCTAAAATACACTCATTTTTAGCTCCATTAATTTTAGGTTTTTGTAATTGAGCGATAATACTATTTCTGTATCTATTTAAACAATTTGGGGATTAAATTGGGTTTTTTACATAGTTTGAGACTATTTTGATCTTTCACAAACATTCAATGGGCTAATATTTCTTAATTTACTATTTTACAATAATTTATTCAACTATATGCGTTAGTAATGAATTTCATTACTTTTTCTAACTTTTCTTAAGTGCTTAATTGAGATAAGCATGGATCCTCATCATCAATTGTCATTTTGACAAAAATTGATATCCTTGGCTTTAAACCCTTGTCTTGTCATATAGTAATTCTTTTTCTCTATTTGCTTAAATGCTTATAGATTTATTTATTTATTTATCTTTTCATATATTTTTTGCCATCTAATTTAGTATTTTGTTTACTGTTGAATATGGTTTGTGATACATACAGGGGATGTGATATGTGGGAGATTGTATCAATTACCTTAATTAAAATTTTCAAATAAACAAAGTGTCAATAGCACTGGCTTAGTATGACTTAATTTTCCTTTCTGCAATGCTTCCAGTCTCTTTGTTATTTGTTCTCCACATATTTTGTTTATTATTAACTTGTGAAAATGGTTTTGAAACAGCTTCATGTTGTTTACTTTTTCTTCTTTGGTTGTTTTGTGACTTTCCATTAAACATTTTTTCTTTGCGTAGAGTGTTTTGGAGGGATACAATGGTACGGTTATGGCTTACGGCCAGACTGGAACTGGAAAAACTTTTACTCTGGGAAAGCTCGGAGAGGACAACATAGCGGCTCGTGGAATTATGGTCCGTGCCATGGAGGACATTCTTGCTGATACTTCTCCAAGTAGTGATTCTGTATCCGTCTCCTACTTTCAGGTCTTTTTTTTCATTTGTTCAATGTATCATCATCCATTGGATGCCCACTTCAACACATTTTCAGCTTCTTATATATTGATGTATTGAAATACATCTTGCTGATTTTATTGCTCCAAGCAACAAGCTTTATTATAACGCGAAGTATGATAAATTATTATTATTTTTTGGTTGCTTGCAGCTCTATATGGAAACAGTCCAAGATCTTCTTTGTCCTGGGAATGATAACATTGCCATTGTAGAAGATCCAAAGTCTGGCGATGTGTCTATACCTGCAGCAACTGTTGTTGAAATCAGGGACCAGCAGAGTTTTGTAGAGCTTTTAAGAATAGGGGAAGCTCACCGTTTTGCTGCAAATACAAAGTTAAACACCGAGTCATCTCGCAGTCATGCCATTCTAATGGTAAATACAGATTTATTTTTGACGTATGAATGTTTATGTATATACACAATTCTTTACCTGCTGTCAAATTCATAAATGCTGCATTTTTGGCTGGGTCTGTAGGTTCATGTTAAGAGATCCATAAAGGGAAGGCATGATGGTGAAGATGGTTTTCCTGTTGAGAATGGCCAGGCATCTTCCTTGGTCAAATCATTCCGGCCTCCAATAGTCAGAAAAAGTAAACTCGTTGTTGTAGATCTTGCTGGTTCTGAGAGAATAGATAAGTCAGGTTGGTAAAACATATACCATCAAAACTAGATGTTCCTGATCTATTTCCCTGCCCCACAACTATTTCAAACTTTTGTCAATTTCATCTCCATATTAATGATTTAAAAATACCTGCATGGAACGTTATTCCTTATATCTTATTACTGATGATGATGTGGGGCTAAGGAAATCGGTCCTAAGAGGGATCGAACTGCATTTGGGGCCGGTCGCGACTTCTACTAGGCCGAGTCGGCATTTGGTGAGACCGGTCCTGACTCATACAGTTCCGAGCTGGATCAAACGGCATCTATGGACCGATCCTGACTTCTACGAGGCCAAGCGGCATCTTGGGAGACCGGCCCCTACTCCTACAAGCCTGAGCGGCAATTGGAAGGGGTGGCAATGCCGCCAGCCCCCTTCCTCCTTCCCTATGTCTTTTTTCCTTTCCCCACTTGTTCTCTGCCTTAGGGTAGTTTATTTAGTTGCTTGTTGCTAGAGTTAGTGTTCAGGTTATGCTTGATTACTGTTTTCAGATTCTATGTGGAGTCTCCTCTTCCCTTGCTAAGGGCTATCCGACGACGAGTGGTGCTTCAACTGTATCCTGTTATGAGGTGGTATTGTATCCTCTTCTATCTTCCTCCCTACCCCTTCTCCTTCACCTCCCTTGACTGCTGGCCCCCCCATTTCCTTCCATCTCTGTTGCTGCCCCATTCAACTGCCGCAAGTCTGCTGTCCAGCCCTCCCCTTCAACTGCCGCAAGTCTGCAGAAATAATTTGTACGTTGATCTTTTGAATTAAAATCAAGATTATTACTTATAAACATGACTAATTTAATGCAAAAAATTTAAATCAAGTCAATATTTATCGGTATATGAGTAAAGGATAATCATAAACAATAAGTGTACCTATTTGTAACGAAATAGGACGCATCACTTAAATATGATCTATTTAATGCATTATGTTAGCCAATTGCTGGTATGAAATTACTTGCTTTTTATTTTTTTCTTATTTTTCCTGTTCGTAGCCTTAAAAGTGTCATAAGATGTCTGTACGGACCTTAAGACATTTATATCATTTGGTTGTCATTTAGCCCATTGGCTACAATAATTATTAATTAGGTTCAAACTTATACCAACATCATAATTATCAATGACCATTCAATTTGAAGTTGAGGCATATCGTACCAACTTTCTAGAATTGAGAGCTTGAAGCCCTTTTTGGCCTCTACCGAGTCTAATCTTGTTAGATTTTTTTCTCTTCCTGCACTTGTCATTACCATTTCCCGACTTATATTTATTATATGGCCTTTCATAGTTCCTTTTTTTTTGCATTATTATTATAAGTCTTTGAAAAAAATAGCATTGCTATGCATCTAATATAGATCACCATACGTGAACATGTGCCGAGAAAAATGATGTATAAAAGTTTACATCTTGCTATTTTACAATGCATCATATTATAAAATAATCTCAAAACTGGGTAATATGAACATTACAAAATTATTGAAAAAGGATGGTTGAATGAAATATAGTAATTTTATTGGTAACATTGGTTGCTAATGTAGATAAATTCTATTAATATTAGACCAATGAAATATTTTTTTTTTGTATTAGAGATTTAGCATCTTATTATAATTTTAGGATGTTCTTCTTGACAAATTTTCTTATATCTCCCCAATACCTTACTCTTTCATAAACACAAATTTTTAAATTGCAACACAATTAAATCACTTGTAACGGTTTTGTTACCTGGGGGGTCGGGTAAATGAACAGTAGGGAGAAGAAGATAGATTGAGCAGCCGAGAAAAAAATTGAAGGGAAGAAACGATGATTCATGCATCGAAGAGCTAAGAAGCAGGAGCGGAAAGAAGATCGGGAAGTCGAAAGTTAGTATCACCCTATAAAGAGATGCGCTTGAGGGAGGTAAAGGTGAGATCGATTTACTTAGGAATTGAGCGATGTGCGAAGGTGGACGCTGCAGGAAAAGGGGGCAGCGACATCGATGACGTCTCTGTCGCATAGAGGAGGAACGGGCGATGGGTTCGTGCGATCCCGTGCACAGAGGAGTCATCAATCAGAGGAATATGTGCGGGAGAACCAAGCCAAATCTCTCATGCACGGGGAAAGCTTGCATGCAAAACTTCTTTGGCGTGTTAGGGTTCGACCGAAGAAGGTAAAGTTTATTTATTTTATTTTAATTATAAAACAAATAATATAATCCTAAAGTATTAAAATAATATTAAAAAAAGTACTAAAAAAGAAATTGAGGTGTGTGTGTGTGTGTGTGTGTATATATATATATATATATATATATAATGTGTGTGTGTGTGCATATATAAAAATTTTGTACATGAATAACGTAAAAAAATAACTAGTTAAAATAATATTTAATGAAAATTTTATATTAAAAATATAATTTTTATGTTAGGTTTCTATTAGAGGAGTTGACGTTAACATTACTCTTCTTTCTTTCGGAGAATTGGTCTCCGTAACGAATTCACTGCACTATCGAGGTATGCACCACAGTTGATCGCTACTGCAGAAGAAACGTGCTACAGGCTCATTTCGTATTTAAAGGATTCTATCAGACAACCGTTAGTACCTTTAGAGATCTATGAATATTCACTAATAGTGGAACGAGCTAGAAGAGTGTAGAACGACTATCAACTTACTCATAAGCGTAAAGGGATGCATAAGCGGAAGACTGCAAAAGAACATGCAGATCACTCAGAAGGATCCAATAAGAAGAAGTCCAAGAATAATTCGGGTGAAGCTAGCAGAGGGACAAATCACTTGTGTTAAATGCGGAAGACAACATAAATTTGAATGCTTGATGGACTCTAACACTTGCTATTGGTGTCATCGACCTGATCATATAGCATGATATTATCCATTTCTTGGCCAGAAGAGCGTTTAAGATCAGAAATCAGGTGGAGCTCCTTTACGAAAGACTATAGGTGGACAGAGAAAGATTGAGTCTATGGCTTCAACTCCTACCGATGGTCAACCAAGACAACCGATTCGATCTCGATTATATTCTCTTACTCATAATGAGTCTGAAGAATTTACTGCTGTTGATGGTGATGAGGTTTAATAAGTTGGAATTTTCTTATATATATGGTGTTTTCCTAACTTACTTTCTTGTTTTAGTATTATTATCCAAAGTATAGTCGAGTCATCTTATATTGAGTTTTTACTTTTCATCTTAATGAATTACCCCTAATTTTTCATCGTGAAATTTATGAATAGTAAACGCCTAACTGTTAATGAGAAATGACTTACAATATGCTTATAAATTTTGAGGAAGAAATTTTTGTGAGCAAGATTGTAACTGTTATGTTACAGAAGGGTGGTTGATAGGAATTGAAAAATTGAGGAAGAGGAAGGGAGTAGTCTGGTAAATGAACAATAAAGAGGGGAAGATGAATTGAGCAGCAGGCATCGAAGAGCTAAGAAGCAGGAGAGGAAACGAGATTGGGAAGCTGAAAGTTAGTATAGCTTTATAAAGAGAAGTGCTTGAGGGAGGGTTGGTAGGAAATTAAAAATTAGGGAAGAGGAAGGGAGGTGTAGGGTAAGTGAACAATTGTGAGTAGAAAATGAATTGAGCAGTTGAGAAAAAAAATGAAGAGAAGAACAAGCGTTGAGTCGGGCATCAAAGAGCTAAGAAGCGGGAGAGGAAACGAGACCGTGAAGCCGAAAGTTAGTATCGCCCTATAAAGAGAAGCACTTGAGGGAGGACCCAAGCATGACACAATGCACACACAAAAAATCACAAAAGGTTTCAAAACTAAAAAAAAAGAAAATACATTATGTACTTAAATAAAAAGCCCAACAGTGCCGAAATACATAGTATCAGGTGGCGAGAGAGCGACCCAATTTGGTATTGCCTCTGCCTCTAGTAGGAAAAGAGCAAACTAATAAGTTGGTAAGATGATTGTCATTGCCAGTAGTAACAAATATATCATCCAATATGTTCCCCAGTTGGAGTCGGCCTCCATTCTTTTTCTTCCTCCTAGAATAGACCTACCATTCCTCATTCGAAGAATCAGTCTGATGGGGTAGTAGAGCTGAAGCAGAACGAATGCCAACCGTAGTACCTACAATAGGTTCTAGTGTATGTGTAGTATGAGTTGCCTCTATACCCTGAAGAAGTGGAGCTATGAGGCTCTCCTGGTTATCAGTTTGAACACTATCTTGTTGGTAATAGTCCATCAGTATTATTTTCTATGGGGTTTGAAGGTGCCAACATCACATTACTTGCAGTAACAGTAACAACAGGGGCAATAGAATCATACATCAAAATCTGTTCTGTGGTAACTCTCTCCAGGTGGTATAAATATATCCTTATATCCATCCTTATTCACTTGATTTTTAGATTTCAAATTACGGTAAAGCTTATGACATTTATCAAGAGTATGCCCAAACATCTTACAATGAGAACAATAAGAATGTTTACGCTCCATGACGATTTGTTGCCAATATCCATTATGCGTTGTGCCCAACCAGACTTAAGTAACATCAGATAGTAATATCTCTTTCCACAAGTATCCTGACCACAAAAAGTTTGGTAAGGTTGAAAGTGGGTAGATCTAGCTTCATGGGGTTCCGAAGTATGACACCAATAGAGTAAAAAACCTGATGATGAAAAAAGTGCAGTTTGAGACCAGGTAGACTAAACCATACTGGTACAGTATGGTACAGTAGAAGATTAAGAGATTCGCTATTGGGGTCAAAATCATGAGACCAATTGAGTAGCTTCATTGGTTTACCAGCAATGTTAAGATATTTTTTGGAGAAAATATAAGTGTAGTCTTCAGGCATGGTTAACTGAATCAATATATGTCTCCCATCCATGAGCCCCACTCCACTTTCCTGTTAATTTGAAGTCATCAAAACTTTTCCTGTTTTTACTAATAACTTTTATAGCTGGATGTCCCTACTGAAATTTTTCAATGAGAGCAAATTTGAATTTGTCAGTTAGGGTTGAAATTTCTGACTTAGAGAAAAAGAATGCTACATTCTCACTCTTCCTGCTTGCATTCTTAATAAGGGACAGTCACCTGTACCATCACGATTCTCCTTATAACTTGAGGGGAAAACAATCGCCGTCTCCCTCCAAGGATTACCCACAACATGGGCAAAAGAGGTTTTGCCGGGTTCAATCGAAGAAGGAAGCTCCATCACAGCAAGTGACAGCAAGGAGAAGAGCAGCAAGTCAGACAGAAGAGGTCGGCGGCGAGGCTGCGCAGAAGAGAGGAACCGCAGACAGTAACCGTAGATGTAATTTAAGTCGTAGCTCGACAGAGTCTAAACTGCAACACGACCACACACATAATGGAATCGCGACGCGAAGACGCCGCAGAAGCGAAGGTCCAAATGTTGTTCACCGTCGCTGTCGTCGAGTGCAAAGGCAAAGACGACAATCTCTCTTTTAAACTAGTTCTATGAGTTGTTAATTATGCTTGATTAATATAATTGGTTGTTCTATTATTAAATTTTATCAGTCATTTCAATGCAAATACTTATAATCTCATAATATGAAATAATTAATACATTATGGTATTTTATGTTGAGTGATATAAAATTTTGAATGATATGATTTGCATAGATTGCTTGTATGTGCATGACTGACTATAATGAAGTCACCCGTGGATATTAATCGTGAGCGAATATTAATGTACCCGTGCATGTGAATAAAAAATGATATTGATATTGAAGTACTTTATTTGATATAAATTTTTGGACGTTGCTCCTGTGAGGATTGTTTATATATGAAATGATATTGATATGCTATTGATATAATAAAATTCTTTGAATAACATTAAATATTTATATTAATTTATTAAGAAGCTTAACTGACATGCATATTACTTTTTTCTCTCTTGTATTATTGTAGTTTAAGAGCATGAGTATTCACTAGTTTTGTTTATCTTACTGTTAAATTTAAATTAATATTTTTCAGGTCAGTTAAGTGATTAACGATGAGTGTTAGAAGAGATAACATTTATAGATAACGCGGACAATCAATAACGAGGTAATTTTAATTTATTTTATTTAGTGATTTTTTCATCTGTTAAACTATAGACGAATATAGAAAATTTAATTCATACCATCCTGTGCTCGCCTTGATTAATTCCAAGCTTTGTGCCGGGTTGTGACATCAATAAACTTCAAAATAATATTTTACCTTAAAAATTTTTCTTCTCTTTTAAGACTTTAAGCCTACGACTTGACACCAAATTCGAATTGCGGAAGAATCCATAAAAATCAGATTTTTTATTTTAATTTTTAGCTTACCTTTTCTCTTTCTTCTCTTATTCTTCTTATATCTTTTTTTTTCTTCTTATATATCTGTCAAAATGATTGAAATGAAGTATAGATTTTTATGAAAATGTATGCACATTATTGGGAGGTGTGAAATATGTTGTAGATTTTAGGAGGTTTTTTTAATATTTTTGAATTTTTTGGGTATCTCATGTTCATCTGCTTATATTTCTTAGTACTTATAGTAGTAGTGCTGGCAGTTCTATTTTCTAAATTTCGTCTAGTGTCAGCTTCTCTGTCCTTTTGCTCATTTAGCTTTAGGTTTTTTTAAAGAAAATTTTCGAAGCACTTTTCCATTCCATGCATATTTGGTCTTTTGATTTGACCATTTTCTGTGTAGTATGGGTAATAGCTTTTTGGTAAATTCTTCTCCTGTTTTCTAGTTTTAGAATCAGCCCATAATACAAAGGAGGAGGTATATTCAGGTTATGTTTTGAAATTTCTGCTTTCTTTCTTGTAAGTATATCAAAATTCCATAATGATTTTTCAATTTTGTCCACCATATATCAAGTAGTTCACTTTGTGATTAAGAAAAATTTTTTGCAGGATTTAGTATTGAGGTGTATTTCTTTGATATCCGTGATTTTCTTCCTTTTACTTTTTATTGGTTTGATTAACCTAACATTCAAAGTATTCAAACCTTCATTTCTTCATGTTTACATTCAATTACTTATTAAGTACTTTGGAAGATTGTACTGATGAAAGTTTATTTTTTGTATTTAAAATGTTTCCCTTCTTGTCAGGAAGTGAGGGGCATACATTAGAAGAAGCAAAGTCCATCAATCTCTCATTGACTGCACTGGGTAAATGCATTAATGCTCTTGCAGAAAATAGTGCGCATGTCCCATTTCGTGATTCTAAGCTTACAAGATTGCTTCGGGATTCATTTGGGGGTAAGAGTTTGAAGAATTTAATATATACTGTTAAATTTTGGCTAGGCACATATTTTTCAGTAGTTAATGCCCTTAAGTTACATACTAGCCTAACCAGAAAAAATGGTCAAGGAAATCAATAAACTTTTTCCCAAGTGGCATAAATTTTGTAGATAACATGCTATCTTTTGAAAGAAAAATATGATTGCGTTTGATCACTGTGGTAGACTGGTAGTCAAGGTATTGCTTATTCTACTTGTTTCATTTTCTGTTCTTATCTGCATTAAATTAAATTTACATGGTTATCTTTTAATTGTTTTTGTTCCACGTACACTTCTTTGAGTTCCATAGATTTAGTTTCCTCTGATATTACCTCTAAAGGAAGGAATTATGCTAGGCTTGGCTTCTAGAAACTATTTCTAGCTCTCTTAGATTGCAGGATGCATTGAGCAGACTAAAGATTGGTTAGAAAATAAGCATACAATTCTGTGCCAAATGATTTGGCAATCATGATTTATTCTGTTTATTAGGATATTTGCTTGTGATTAGCCGTGCTAAGTGAAACATCTGTTTTGTTTTGGTGGTGCTTTTCTTTTGATATATCTTCGGCCAAATATTAGGAAAGGAACACAATACTCCTACATGAAATGAGTAGGCTTTGAGCACTTCAGCTCTATGCCTCAGAGAAAACATTACATATTATGAGAACTCTATATAAGTTTAAATTATCAAGCTCAACTGTTTAAGGGATATTGTAATCACTTGGTCTAATCTATGCGATATTTATTTCGATATGATATCCGCCCTTGAAAGAGCTAATTTGCAAAATAATTACAATCGTTATTGTTTGTGCAGAGTTTGCAGCCTTCTCCGACTAAAAGAGATAGATATCATACTTTTGTTCCCTTGTCTTAAGATGACCCTCCATATAAGTTGACTTGATGTTTTTCATTAGTTGCAGCTGGGACCATTGTACTTATATTTAGCTTTATTTAATATGTATGATATTTACTCAGTTAAATATGGTGATTTTGAATAGTTTCTAGGCCTTACCTAAAATGTTTATTGCCTGTAACACACAGGCTTGTTGCATTATAATACTCATCTTTATTGCATTGTAGCACAACACCTTTAGTCTTTCATGACAAAGTTGCAAATTTTCACATGCAACTTCATGCTGAATTTTATTGAAAAACTAGGGGAAAAAGGCACAGGCTTTTGGACATTTACAAGAAAATAATGGTGAAATTCATCCTCATAAATAGACTCTTTATTTTTCATTAATTGTTGTGCTTACATTTATCCTTATCTAATATGCTTATAATTACTTAATTAAGTTGAATATCCGTAATTTTGAATAGTTTCTTGGCATTTTCTTGAATGTTTTTTGCTTATACTACTCTGGCCTGTTGCATTATAAAATTCATCTTTATTGCTTTATAGCACATCATCTTTAGTATTTCATGATAGAATTGCAAATTCCACATGCAATTACATTCTGAATTTTATTGCAAATCTAGGAAAAAAATAAAGGCACAGTGACACGTGGCTAATGGGAAGGAGGCTGAACCGTTTCAACAGGACATTGAAGTTAGTGCGGAAGGGGCTTCCCCCCTCCTAATTATCCTTTATTATAAGTATGTTGTTTTCTGTGCTAGGATTTAGTTTTATGTTTTGAGATTTCTTGTCTTCGGCGTTTCTCCCTTGGTCGGGCTGTATTTGAGGATTGTAGTTCTCCGGTTATATCCTGCTCCAAAGTGGTGACTATCTCCACGTAATCCATTCTCTGCTTCCCTCCCCACTTATTGTCAATTTACCTAAGCCTAAATTTGATGAAGCCAAAGAGGCTAGCCATTTGTAGAGTCCTATAGAAGAAGTCAAAGATGGATCATTCATGGTTGACACACGGTATCTGACCGAACTATGGAGTACCTAGTGACTTAGGGATGAAATATTATAATTTTAAAATGTATTTTATAGATTTTATAACTAGAGATTTTTCACTGTTAATCACTACACAATAGGTATTTTATGCAAGTGCACGTATCATTTAAGTAATATAGATTTTTTTTTAAACCCTGAGTGTCACTCCCATAGGGAAGACCTTTAATTTAAAAAACTTAAGAAAAGTTCCAATTGAATTTAAGTAGTCTTAGCTAGGAAATAAGTTCGATTTTAGTGTAAGTTAGCGAATTCTACCAAACTATCAATAATCCTCTAAATTTACTATAAAGCTAGTTATATTATGGTTAAATAAAGTAAGAGAGTTGAAGCTCCCATTGCAATGAAACTAATATTCTGTGTGGGTGTAGAACACTTAGAAATTATATTAGAATTTTGTAACAAATAGGAGCATCTATTTTCCTTACCCTTTTCCAAGTGCATAAAGAAATTAGGTTAACTATGAAAGTGTTTCTATCTGTCACCCTAGAAACCCGCAGATCATCTCCCTATTTATTTGCACTAATATGCGGATTACTTTTCCTTCACCCTAATCAATGAGATTCTTGTTGTTAACTTCACCGCTCTCCCGGATCTTAATGGAATTACAACAAATTTTAAGACAACAATTTGCCAAATTGAAATGTAAATTAAGCTTAAAGTAAAAACATTCACAAGCATGAAATGAAATTCATTCTAATTGAATCAACATCCTACACATGTTACTACTTCATTACAAGAGAAAGAGTAAGAAAATTACTCAATGTGCATAAAGAAAACAAAAGAACTCATTTTACTTGATACGAGACAATTTGAAGTAAAAGAATTATCTTCTTCCTTGAGAACAGAAGAGATAACTCCACCAAATGTAATTTCCAAGTCCTCCTCGCACTGCTACAATAATCCCTCTCATTTCACTCATATCTCTCAAAAGAAACACAGAAAAGAAATGAAAAATCTAATTCTTCCTTCCCTTTCCTGCACTCTTCTCTTCACTCTAAACTTCCCAAATGATCTTCCCTCTTTGATATGCCTATGCTCCCAAATTAAGTCCCAAATTCATGTAAAACCGCTGAGAAAACTGTCTAGGGCAATTATTGTGCCTTAGCCCAGTTTCTGGTGCCTATGCGCCATCTTTTTGGGTACCCAAGCTCGGTACTCACGTAAAACAACTGGCGCCAGTATGTGACGCCAGGATGCCATCTTCTCGGATGTTTGGTCTTGATCCGATGCTTAGGCGCCCACATATGGCTACAATTCAGTATTTGCTCCATTTCTCCATTTTCCTCCGTTTGCGCTCCGCTTTCGCTCCGTTTGCGCTCCGCTTTCGCTCCAATTTGATCCGATTGTTGTACCTAGTATAACTACAATAAAAAAACAAAAATACTTTTCTTTAAAGCGCATATCATCAAAAATACCTTTTACTTGATCCGATATGCCAGTATCTTTCGCACCAAGCGTATGGTGAAGGGAAAAGTTTGCAATGTGATTATCAATGGCGGGGTATCCATATTGATGGTGAAGAAAATGATGTTGGCGAGACAAAATCATCCTCAATATTTCTCTCTTACCTGGTTGAAAAGGGTAAACGAGACACATGTGGATCAATTGTGGTCGGTTGAATTTTTGATTGGATATCAGTCACGAGAGTAAGTGTGGTGCGACGTGGTTCCTATGGACGCTTGTAATTATTCTGTTGGAGAGGACATGTCAGTTCAGTGCAAGACCCAACACGACTTTTATAATAATTTTTCATTTAAAAAGAATGAGGGACGCAACGTGCTTTTGCCTGTTAAGGATGCGAGAGGAGTAGACATCACAGAGGAAACAATAGTCCCGAGAGGCTTGAAATGCTCTAGTGGAAATGGCGTTGGTCCTACTAGAGTGAACTGAGGAGGTTGAGATAGCAACACTTATACAACAAGTGTTATCGGACCTCTAGGATATGATGTCCTATAGTTTTCTAGAGGGGTTGCCACCACCATGGGACATTCAACTCGCCATAACTCTTATACCGGATCAATATTGCCAAATCGGTCTGCCTACATATTGAAACCTATAGAGTATGAGGAGTTGCGACGACAGATACATAATCTAATCTTACGAGGTTTGGTCAGAGAGAGTACTAGTCCATGAGCTATCCCCGCCCTGATGGTATCTAAGAAAGACAGATTATGGAGGATTTGCATTGACAATCCGATCATCAACAACATTGCTTTCAAGTACCAATTTTTCATATCTCGCCTAGACTTGGATCTGTTGCACGGAGCTATTGTCCTTTTCAAGATCGATTTATGCAACAGGTACTAGAATGAGTCAGGGGAGGAGGTGAAGATCGTTTCAAGACCAGGGTTAGGTTATATGAGCGGACAATCATGCCTTTCAGATTGTCTAAAGCCCGAAACACATTCATGAGATTGATGAATCTGGTGTTCTTTGCCTACATTGGGAAGTTTGTAATGGTGTACTTCGATCATATTCTAGTATACAACATATCCGAGGAGGAGCACTTATAACACATGAGGATGGTTTCGAGGTTTGTGATTTGGCAAGTTATACGCCCATTCAAAGAAGTGACACTTTTTGATAACACATGTATACTTTTGGGGTTAGATCGTGTCTAGTGCAAGCATTTAGATGGACCCCCCAAAAATTGAGGTCATTGTGAGCTCGACAACCTCTCAGTCTTTTGCTGAGTTGAGACAATTTTTGGGATTGACATCGTTCTATGGGCAGTACATCAAGAGCTTCAATACCATCACCTCACCCCTGACAGAGCTATTGAAATAAGAGTTCTAGTGGAGAAATTCGATTTAGACCATTTTCAACACATTGAAGGAGAAGACGACTCAAGCACCAGTTTTGGCATTACTGGACTTTAATCAACTATTTGAGGTGATGTGTGACGCCTCCAATGCGGGGATTAGAGGAGCACTTATTAAGCAATGACGTTTGATTCTAGCTGAAGCCGGATTTTAGGAGTTAGACTTCGAGATACGCCCAGTTTGAGATTTTGTATGGGCGCAACTCCCTCACTTCCCTTGAATTGGTACCTTTCCTTGCCGACATGAGAGATTATTGAGGATGCCGAGGAACAGGTGCAAGAGATTCAGAAGCTCCACAAGGAGGGTGGGAAGGAAATCACTAAGTAAAACCGTAAGTACCAAGCACAGACAAATAAGTCTAAAAAGAAGGTGACTTTTCGAGAAGGGGACTCAGTTTGGATCCGACTGAAGAAGGAAATATTTTTTGTTGGAGCGTTCGTGAAACTCTAAGCCTAGAGCCAGTGGACCTTTTAGAATTCTCAAGAAGCTAAAAGACAACGCTTGCAAGATCGACCTATCAGGGTACTACAATGTTTCGACTGCATCCAATGTAGCGGACTTGACACTGGGCTACGAGGAGTTAGAAGCTTCAAAGAACGACATCGAAGCTCCCCAATCCCAGGAGACTGGCGCTGGACTATGGGAAAGGAGGCTGAACTGGCTGAACCTGTTCAACTGGAGTTAGGGGGCAGGCCGACCGAGCTAAGGTTAGGGCTGCCGCCCAAAGGGGAGGTGTTTCCCTCTCCTAGTTATCCTTTATTATAATAATGCTGTTTTGTGTGTTAGAGTTTAGTTTTCTGTTTTGAGATTTCTTTTCGTCAGCATTTCTCCCTTGCTGGGGCTGTATCCGAGGACAGATGTTGCTTCGACTGTATTATGCTCTAATGTGATGACCAACTCCACGTAATCCATTGTCTACTTCCCTCCCCACTTGCTGCCATCTTACCTGCACCTTAACCTTCCTGTTTTTCTTGTCGCCAGCTCTACTCTACTCTTGCTGTTGCCGCTGAACACCCCAACACCCCCGCTGTTGCCATAAGTCTCTCCAACACATCAACTCGTCGCCGCCCTTACCTCTTCCAACCTCTTGTGCTACTAAAAATCCCCAATCTTTCCCAGCTGCTACTGCTAACCCTTCCCGCGTCTCCACCTGCCACCGACCTCTCCCCTTCAACTCTTGTTGTCGCCAAACCCTCTGCTCCCCCATTTCTGTTACAATTGTTAGCCACATACTCCTTTCCTGCCTACCACCACCTATCCAAGCCCCTCTCACTACTGCCCACCGGCTGTCCCTCCTCGCCTTAGCTGGAGATTCGTGTTGTGTTGACTTCCCTTTCATGTTTTGAGTATTAATTGTAACCCCGTTGTTTTTGGGGTAATAAAATTTGCATTCCTATTGGATTTCAGGTTAACTCTGGTATTACACAGGCTTCTAGACATTTACAAGTAAATTATGGTGGAACACGATAATCATAATACTTTTATTTAAAATAATCATGCATACTTATGATTTCAGAAATACATTTGTATTTCTTATAGACATGAAAGCAATATAATATCAAATCTAGAGAACGAAGGTCATCTATTTTATTTATTTGTTAGCTTATTGGATTGTTGCATGCATAAAATAGTAGTACTATTGAAGAGATTATTTAATGAAGATTATATTTTCAATATTATCAGCATCATTACCTTATCCCAACTATATGGGATTGGATATTTATAATATATACAACTAAAATGAATCACAAGTGGCCAACATGTTTAAAAATGTGAAAAAAAGTTTGCTTTAAAAGGTTCTTTAATATGATATCTGATGTCGAACTAATTTAACTGAATGATTTGATGTATGATACCTGATTACTCAAGTTCAAAATTCACAATTTCAAAGGGCACCGATTAAATCAAAATCTATATCTATTGATGTAAACTTAACAATATGAGAAATCTGTAGTAAAGAATAATTTTTTGTTTGCCGAAATTTAATAATTGAAACAGCCAAAAGACCATTTCTTGAGTAAAATTCACACGGCATAAAAATTCGTGACTCATTTGCATTAAATCAATCACAATAAATAATGATAATAATATAGAAGAAAATATAACAGGATAAGAGATCACCGAACATAAATAATTTAAACTTCACACTGGTACAGAGAGCAAACTTCGCACAAAATTGTTATTCTCTCAAACATTGCCTTCTTTTTAATTATTAAATCTACCCAACCATACAAGATTGAACTTAATATGAAATTTAAGCTGAGAACATGTACCCGCATTCTTTGACAATACAAAAATTTCTTCCTTAATCATGGTTGGTTATGACAATCTCGACGAGGGATGAATAAATTTAAATAATGGACTTATGATTCAATGTAATTCAATGGTGGATGATGTAAACTTGCATGCTATTCGCATAAATGGATGAAGAGGATAAGGAGAAGCCTTTCAAGGCATATAAAATGAGTTAAGGAACTCAAGTTGGACAATCATCATATCATCACGACTAGATGATTGCTTTAATTGGGTGATGGTACTGGCTACAAAAGAGTCAAATGTATTACGTGGAGATATTTCACACATGAGTCAAAATTGAAAAGTCGCTTCACACAAAGGAATTAACTTCTCGAAAGTGTCGAGTGGGGAGCACAAAATAATGTGGGATCTAATGAGAAGGTTGGCCCGTGTCAATATACGTGACTTCAAAAAGATTTAGCTACTTGTTTGCACAACTTGTGGAGAAAAAATTGAATGAACTCTAGAATTTTCTTTTCACTTTATAAAATATATTTGGTGACCTCCACCACTAGAAAAATTGATACTATCTCAAACATTAGCTTCAAAAATTAGATTAGCAATCTGGTAAAATGTTAGATGTGAGTCGACAAGGCGATTGAAAAAAAAAAATCCAATATATTTAGAGGCATGCAGTGAGTCGGTTTGGATGGATCGATTTAGAATTTAAGTCAAAATGAGTGAAATAAAAATTTGAAATCCAAAAAATCAATTTGACTATGTTTTTATTAATATCGATCCAAATTGAACCAAATGCAATTCAATTTAAGGAGTTTAGTTTGAACAAATTAAGTTTTTGTTTTGGGCCTAAAACTATTAAAGATCAAGATTCTACTTCAAATTTTGGAATTTCGTATCTTTTTCTTATTTTATCAACGTCCCTTCAAAATTAAAAATTTCAAACTAACTCAAAGTAAGCAAGTTGTATGCTTAATTCATTTTGTTTTCATGTGAATTTAATATTTTAATTTTAATACTATTGAATTTTTTGGTTTATTTTGTTATAAGATTAAGACCGATCCAAAACCCAAAATCATATTTTTAAAATTCTACAATAGAAACTTGAAGTGTTATTTCAACTTTGAACCAAATTAATCAAATTTGTTCAGTTCGGTTCGATTTTTTTGGTTTTGATCAAACAATGGACACCCCTAAATATGGTACATAGTAATACATCCATGAAGTAAAGTTAAATAATTTACTTAAAGATTAAGTTACTCTTCCTAGAATTTCGAACTGCTAATTATTTGTTCTAACGTGCTTTATGATTTTAGATGGATTTGCCAAAATCATATATAATATTTTTAAAGCTTATTTGGAATCTTTTTGAATGCAAATGCACCAACATTTTTTCACTTGTTTTGAAATGCACATTCTTGTTCACACTAGCAGTTGACTTGTAATAATGTTATTTGCCCTTCAAAGAAAATGACTTTTTAATTCTGGAGGCTCTTGGCGTCTTTTTGAGTGATGTAAAACGCTAAAAAATTTCATCTGTTTTATTTATTAGAAATATATTTTGGAGAGTATATCTATCTATGTATATATATAGATATATAGATATATATAGATTTGCAAATAGGATGGGAAGTTTGACTTCACAAATACACAAACATTTTCATGTCTAACAATCCTCACGTTTGAAGATGGTTTCAATTATGGTATAATAGTTTTTTGAGTACCATGTTTATAATTTATGCTCTTGCTTGTGTTTTTCTTCAACTTCTACTATTTTGTTCTCTCATATCTCTCTATTAATTTTTTAATGCCATCTAGGTTGTTAGCTTGATTGCTGCTTTGATTAATTTTGCAACTTTGATGATTTGAGCTTTACTGAGCATGTCACTTTGAATTCCCTTTCACTTACAAAACTTTAACAGGAACTGCGAGGACATCATTGGTTGTGACAATTGGACCATCTCCCCGTCATCGGGGAGAGACATCAAGTACCATAATGTTTGGACAACGGGTAAGTTTATTTAATAAAACCGTTGGTTATATGATTCTTTTATAATCATTCTTTTTGCAAAGTAAACATTTGGCAGAAATGTTTCATATTGAAGCCATTTTTTTGTTTGATAATATACTTAACTAGGAAATGCATTACAAAGTCATCACCATTACACCCTTTTCTCAACTATTTGCGGTTTGTTTCACGAAAGCTCCATTCATGCATGTTTTGCCAAATTTGAAGCTTAAATGTTATGCAAGGTTTTGAACAAATTCTAGACATTATTTTCTTGTACTCCATTTTCTTTATGATCATTTTTCATTCATTTTTTGGCTTTATTTCTACTTTTTTTGTTGTTTATTGTGCATCTCGATTCGCTTTTGTCTGTTCCCCCATCATATCTTTAGCAGGTGTTATTCCTCATTTGTCAAATATGATTATTTTTCATCTGTTCTAGTTTTAATATATCCATCTTAAGATTCAAATTTTGTTACATTCAACCAAGTTTTGAGTGATGTTTTAGTTACCCGAAATTTGAAGTCATAAAACATAATATTTGAAGGTTTTTAGGTCTGAGGTTTCTCTTAAAAATTTGATATCCATTCAGTGCTGTGTTTAGGCTAATAAATATGCGGTACTTATAATTTTTGTTGGTAACCGCAAACAATCTAATGAAAATTTGACAAAGTATCTAGCTTGCTATGTCCTATATAATTAGTCTGAATAGCTTCTAACTTGCCTTCTCTATTGTCCTCGCCCTCTCCTCTTTCATACTCTACATCACTAGATTGGATTAGTTTTCTCTGTTCCCCTTAATTTTTCTGTACCATTCAGTGAATAAAGCAGACTCAAATTGACGCAGGAGCTTCTCCAGTCTTCCCGAGATATAAGGGATTATGAATTCGCGGAATCGATCCCGTGATCACGGGATCATGAACCCGGACCGATTCTCGTCCTGATAGAGAATCTTGTGGGTTTTTTCCGATTCTACAACGGGTCTAAACAACAATTATATCGGGTAGGGCTAAACTGGGAAAATTTTGTCCGATTGACAAATTCAATGGGTATTATTGTCCTTTCTAGTTTATTTCATAATTCTTTTCTTCTAATTAGGTTTCTTTCTAGCTTGGGACTATACATATGTTTTATTTATTTATTTATTTTTGGATGTCTTTTGCCTTTGTTTGAGTATTTGGAAGTTATAATCTATGAATGTAGCTTATGAAGTGATGTATCATCTTTCTTTTATTAGTAGTGTATCATTTTCTCGTGCATGAATAGGTCATGAACCTCCACGACATCCGTAGCACGCCATTTCGTGGTTCTCCTTACTGTTTTCAGCCAGAAGAGTCATTGATCGATGTCGATTCCCTTTTAATTGCTGTCAAACTCACGCATTATCGTTCCATTACCATTTCACAACTAGCTCCCCACTTAATTCTTTTTTCTGACACCTTCTAGGAGTAATAGAACGACATCACATGATATCAAGACCAACTCAAATCTTGCTTGGAAAAACGAGACACAATTGCCTCAAGAAGAAATCCTCAACAAGGCGCTTTGGAAGTTACCGTGGAGGAAATGCGACAAGAAAACCCCCAATTATAGTTGGGCTCGCTGATTTGGAAAGAGGGCAGCATGGGGAAGTCACCCACTACAATAACGCTTACCATTCAGGTGAAGGAGATGAAAAAAAATTCTTTCCACCAAGAAGCTTCAAGTGATGAAGATATGCCACATCAATATGATAGAGTATAGTGGAGAGGTGATTTTGGAGTTTTGGAGTAAATATGAATTTATCAGATTTTGAGGGTCATATGAACCGAACGAGTTAATCGAATGGCTCCAAATATTGTGATGAATTTTTAATTACAAAGATTTTCCCAAGTCAAAAGTGTTAAATTGACAGTCATCAATCTCAGAAAGAATACTTCCTTGTAGTGAGAGAAGCTGGGGCTTTTTCGACAATGAGAAGAAATAAGTAAATATACTATATGGTCCAAGAGGAAACGAGAGATGCTGTGCAATTACTTATCGCTATATTACTAATAAGTTGTGTTCTTGTGACTTCACCACTTACATCAAAAAGACCTCTCAGTAGAGTACACAACTAAGTTCGAGCAACTTATATTGAAGTGTAGGTTAGTGGCTTGATATTTGAGGGGAATGAGATCTTCCATTGGTAATGTGGTATAGTTACAAATTTATTGGACATTATAAGATGTTCAGACCCTAGCCTTGAAGGCGGAGAGATGCCACAATGGTATCAAGTCCACACCACCTTTCAAATAGAGTTCAACCATACGATCGAGTAGCCAGAGTTTAACCAGTGTAGCATTCAAACTGACTCAGAGAAATCAATCTAGAGATGATAAAAGGTGGAGCTCACCAGCACTTCCAAATCCACTTCTGCTAGTAAATGTTTCAAGTTTCATGGTTTTGATCACGTGACATTTGATTGCTAAAACAAGAGGGTGATCTCTTTCAGTGATTACAGAGTTCTTAAAGAAATGAACAGTGACATATGAGGGAATGAAGGCGTCAGAGGTGTTTCAATATCCAACCAATGAGAGAGAGATGCTAGTGATTCAGTGATATCGAAGTTAAACAAACAACAATGATAAATGCAACTTTTATTATAAAATGCAAATACAGGTTACGACAAACAACAGTCACTAAACTTGGGCATAGGTCGAAGGGATTGGTGCTATGGCCTCAGGGTAATTAGTAGGCAGGGATGGCTGGGTGGTCTAGGGGCAACAAGGGGAATGGTGGTATCTGCAGGGATGGTGACAGTGTTTGTTAAGGAGGGCTGGAAAGTGGATGGGAGCAAAGGTTGGAGTGTGAGCTGGCAATAGGAGGACCACGACGGGGTGTTGAAAGGGTGGTAGTGCGAGGAACGTATCTGAGAAGGGGCAACAACAAGGGATGGCTGGGTGGTCTAGGGGCTACAAGGGGAAGGGTGGGATCAACAGGGAAGGTGACGATGGTTGTTAAAGACGGCTGGAAAGTGGATGGGAGCAAAGGCTGGAGTGTGGGCTGGCAACAGGAAGACCACGATAGGGTGTTGAAAGGGTGGTAGTGCGAGGAACGTATCCGGGAAGGGGCAACAACAAGCATGCATGTGCTGGGAGGGGTGGATGGCTGCTGGACAACAACATCGAGGGCGACATAACACCTCCGATAGCGGCGACATTAGATCAGGCAGTTGGGAGTAAGGCATGGAAGTAGGGGATTATAGCTAAACACCATCTCATGAATAGTTAAAGCAGAGGCACTTTCTTGCCTTCAGATCTAACCCTAGAAAAGGAAACTTGGATGCCTGAGGCTGTCCTAACAGGAAAATTGAATTAAAAATTGTCATAATACATGTTAATAACATATTTATAAACTTCGGTAAATAGGAGTTGACTCCACTCCAAATAGGAGGGAAATCCACGAAAAGTAAGTGTCGACCAACCACTGATCTGAGCTGTGATCTCCCTCGACACTGTAGCAGGGGTTGCAAATGGAACCCATGCGGAACGACTCCCGTGTCAGTCTCCTGAGGTTGGCGGAGCATCAATCTCATCAATCAAAGCTTCTGTGGTCTCGTAGTATGGAGTCAAGTTTACTACGTTGAAGGTAATTATGTTACAATCTCCTGATACATCAATCTTATAGGCGTTGTTATTCAACTTCTTGAGGATTCTTAAAGTTCCATGTACTTTGGGCTTTATTTTCCTGAAGGTTTTTGGAAGAAATTTCTCCTTCAATCAAATCCACACGGGATCTCTTTTATGAAAAATCACATTCTTTCTGGTTTTATTAGCTTGCGACTGGTACTTGTGACTTTCCTGGTAATCTCTTTCCCAACCTACTTGTATAATCTTTGAATCTCTTGTACATTTGCCTCGAACCCTGTGCTAATTTCCAAGATGGGTAGAACTGGTACGAGCACAAGCAAAGTAAGTGGATTGCACCCATGCACAATCTGAATGGGGATACGTCCCGTAGTCTGACTCAAGAACTTATTGTAGGTGAATTTGTCTTGGGCTAGAATCAGGTCCGAGTGCTTAGTATTCTTTCCTATAAAACTCCTTAGGAGGTTTCCCATTGTTCACCACTTATGTCTGACCATCTATTTGTGGATGAGTTGCCGAGTTGAATTGTAGTTTAGCTCCATGCTTTCCTCACAAGGTTCTCCAGAAATAACTTAGGAGCTTGACATCTTTATTAGATGTAATGGTTTCGGGAATCCTAGGCAACCCTACGACCTCCCTGAAGTATGAGTTAGCGACATGTTATGCATTCAGGGTGCGGTGGCACGATACAAAATAAACCATCTTTGAGAACCTATCAACCACGACCATCATTGAATCTTTATTCCGCTGCGTCCTTGGAATACCCATCATGAAATCCATACTAATGTCTAGCTAAGGAGCCTCTGGTACCGATAATGATGTGTATGGCTCTATATTTTACTCTTTGGTTTTGGCTAAGTGGTAAACTTTGCATTGTTAGACATATCGCTTCGCATCTCTAGTCAGTCGTGATGAGAAAAATTGATCCTTCGCGAGGGTCTTGTCTCTGTTGAATGCTCAGCTAGGCTCCTTTTGTGACTTTCTTAGATGTTGACTCTCTTAATGAGTATCTCGGAATATACAACCTGTTCTGGTGGAATAGGTAGCCATCAACTTTGTGGCACTGTCTCACTAGTTTTTCCTAACACTTTCTAGATCTTCATGAAATCTTCATCTTTCTTGTACAACTCCTTCACCATCTCGAATCTCTCAACTCTAGTATGCATGGAGGTGAGAAGAATGAGAGTGACTCAATGCTTCCGCTACCCGAATCTAACAATAACAAACAAAATGATTGCTAAGAACTCAACCCAAGGCACAAGTTAGCTTTCAGTTTTCTCTAATTGTTAAAGAATCTCAAAGCCTTGTGATCCGTGAACAAAGTGAGCTCACTTGTCCGTAGCTAGTGATTTCAGTGATGAAGAGCTCGGACAATGAAAAAACTTCTTGTCATAT